AAATGTTGGTGAAAGGAGGCCCTTTTATAAATGCCCTAGTGTGTCTTATCTTACTTTCACCTGATGGTCATAATTTACTCCAATTACTAAGTATATAGTCTTAGTCTCGCAATTTTGAATCATTTACTTATGCATGTTACTGTGTCCCACGCAGTCAGAAATTTGTTCTATTAAAAGTTTAACATACTTTTTTGAATGTTCATGCTCAAATGACAATATATCTCAAGCGATTCACTGATTATATGCCACAGAAATGCAGCACATGCATTGTCTGAGGTTGTTTATATCAATATATAAATAGACATTGCCTGTCACTATGGAAGACCAAATGGGACAATATTCATGATTCTTGTTTCTACATTCCAGTTTGAACATTTTAGACATGAACGCAACATTCTAAACTAATGATTCTTGTTTCTACATTCTTATGTCAACATTTCATGCACAAAATCAACATTTTAAACAAAAAATTGACTTTATGTTTCATTTTCGGTGTTTTATCGATAACTTTTATATATCATTAAATATTAAAATTAAAAAATAATTTCTTAATTTTACACGATAAAGAAACCAATTCATTGGTTTCTGAAAGTATCTAAAAAAAAATCTGGAATTTGAACTCTTAATAAAATATTTTCTACGTTTCAAAAAGTCTTGAAGTTAAAATCTTGAAATGAAAATGTCCAGAAAAATATGAATTATCAACATTATTAATCCAGAGGGCGTTAGCGTATGTGTACAACTTTGATACAGACTATAGATAAGAAATCAAAAGTAGACTTTTCCACGAGTGGAAGTGGGCCTTTGCTGTGTTTACAGTACGCGTAGTTACATGAAACAGAAATTAAGCTCGAGATATAATAACAATACAAATAACTTCTATAATTTAAACAGCTAGAAAAATTAGGACAAAGGCCTTTCTTACATATTCGCTGTTATTTGTTTACTTTTTCATATGTTTACAAATTAGACCTACACGTGTTTCGAATATGGCAAAAATGGATGATAATGCTGTGTTTTAAATGAGAGAGAGAGAGAAATGGGGTTTAACGTCCACTCGACACAAACTAGGTCATTTCGGGACTAACATATGGTTTAATTTTATTTACATAATTCGCTTGCGCGTAGGGGTCTTTAGCAGTGGGAGGAAACCGGAGGACCCGGAGAAAACCCACAAGGTTGGATAGGCGACCCTACTCCTTGCCACGTACAACCGGGGATTCGAAACCACGCCAGTCGACTCAATGACAGACTTTATGATACAGCGCGCGCACGCTAACCATTCAGCCATCCAACCCCCCCGTGTTTTAGATGGAATCTATTCACTGTTAGTTGTTTACTTTTTCATATTAACTATAACTAAAGGATAGTGTTTTCAAATTAGACCTACACGTGTTTCGAGTGGAAAAATCTACTTTTGATTTCTAATCTATAGTCTGTATCAAAGTTGTACACATACGCTAACGCCCTCTGGTGTAATAATGTTGATAATTCATTATATTTTTCTGGACATTTTCATTTCAAGATTTTAACTTCAAGATTTTTTTTTAGATACTTTTAGAAACCAATTAATTGATTTCTTTGTCGTGTAAAATTAAGAAATAATTTTTTAATTTTAATATTTAATGATATAAAAAAGTTACCGATAAAATGCTGAAAATAAAACATAAAGTCAATTTTTTGTTTAAAATGTTGATTTTGTGCTTGAAATGTTGACATAAGAATGTAGAAACAAGAATCATTAGTTTAGAATGTTGTGTTCGTGTCTAAAATGTTCAAACTGGAATGTAGAAACTAGAATCATGGATATTGTCCCATTTGGTCTTCCATATGTCACGTGACATTGTCTACAAATACATCAACTAATAAAACCCTTAAAAATGTAATGTTAACGATTCTGAATAACAGTAATATTTAGGTTTTTGACTGTTATACACAGCAGATTTAGAAAAAGACATGCAATATTATTGACTATTAGCAGTGCATACTTTTGGTTCAGTACAATTCCTACCTCCGAAGCTCGCGGCTTAGGAAAGGACATAAAACACTAGTACTTATAGTATTTTCTTTTTGCTTTTCTAAGGTTTTTAAAACATCTGTTTACTAAACTAGATTACTTGTTCCAGCTTTCTTTAATGTTCCGTATTAATTCCATTAATTATCAAGGTCCGTCAATTAGCTGGAGAATAATCAGTAACTGGTTAAGAGCAACTAATTGCAAACTTGTGTAAGGACATATTTTACACTAAATGATGTAAATTTTACATTTTCTGTTTATTCTTGATTGCACTTTAAATGTATATAACTTGTTAAATACAGCATGACCATTTATTTAGTGATGGAAAATCAATGAAAATCAAGGCTTGTTATATATATATATATATGTATGAATATTGTGATCAGCCTATAATTATTGATATAATTTGAGATATTTCTTTACGGTGGGACACCCTATGCATATTCTATCCATTTGACATTAATATTAAAAAGAACATCATAATCTTTACAATATTAATGTAGGAGTCATTAAACATGTAACAGGCTGGCCAAATATTTAAATCTACATTTCCACAAGAGAGTTTATCAGGTAATTATTTCCAATTAAAGGTTAAAAAGTAACCTATGTCAAATTGATCGGACACAGAAAGTAAGAATTAAATATCCAGTACAATGTAGCTACTGTCTGTCCCAAGAGATACTCTGACTCTCAAATTCCTTGCCATTTCTTCAGTTTTTAATTTAAACGGCCAAAAATTGGTGACATACCTGAAATTTTCATCCCGTTGCTCGCTTCGTCGAGCCCTAACGCCTAAAAGTTCGATAAGATCCACTCACCTCTTGGAAATTTCACATATTTCGACATCGTTTCTTTCTCAAAACATCAACATTACGAGTGCGTCTGCGTAATGGGAGACTTGCATTTCGCGTATAGGGTAGACAGGTATCTCCTAATCGGGTACATTCGGTTAGAAATATATAGTGAAGGAAAATTCGCCAGTTTCTTTTGCGACAGTAATACTTAGGTTTCAGACTGGATCATGTTTTTTGGTCGGATTAATATTATGTTCTGATTTAACCCGCTTATTTTGCAGAAACTGCGCATTAAGCCACTCGGTTTTGGGGAGTAAGGTCTAGAGATATGACATTTTTCTAAACACTTTATTAGTTTTCCAAGGTTCTGATCAGCTGTATATAAATATTCAAAATATATTTGTCCAGATTATTTCCCTTTGGCCTTGCATCAACCGGGCGCAATCTGGTTAATAATAAAACACAGATCTTATTTCATTTCGTTTTTATAGTTCAAAATTCCATTTTACTTGTCTTTACTACACTTGGATCTGGAAGAGTTGTTATTTAACTCGTGTTCTGAATGGTGTGGGGGATAAGCCAATGAAACGGTCTGTTACGGCGAGCTTTAGGCGTGTTTTTCACGCAACTGTGGGTAATCCACTAGTAACATCAATGCTGATTGGTTAATCAAATATCTGACGTCATAGGGTCATAAGTCGGTCTTTTCACCCCTGACGTGACCTATCGCTATAACTTGTCAGATCTTCCTGTAGTGTAGGCCATCGAAGGTATAAAAAAACGAAACGAAATATAGATCTGTATTTTAATCAGATGGAACCGGGCGATAATACGCCAGACATAATTATTATATAAAAATCATTTTACTTTTATTGTAGACTTCACGACAAATTAGGTTACATATACATTTAGTCTAATCATTGCTCCAGCCTAAATTCAACTTTAAATTGTCTAAAGGCAAAGTCGTAAGCAAGGGAATAACTTATATTAACTTTGCAATCTGCGATTACTTTTGCATATTATGGACCAAGTTATTGTGTACGCCTATAGCCCCCTTCAAAATTTCCATCACATGCAGTTCAGGATAAAATTTGTACGCAATTTTATATGAATATCAAAACACTACAGCCCTCGGGGCCAATTAAATATTCAACTCAGTTGGACAAACTGCGGTGGTCTTGGATTCCGTAAAAATAAAAGTTATATTCTACTGGGCCGAAACAACTTCCTTGACATCCAAGTAGACCGAAACGACTCAAGCCAAACCAACGCCCCCTCCCTCTTCGACTCTTCCGGATAACTAGGTCAAACATGGCTGATGTTCAACAGCGGGATGTAAACAAACTATGATTTTTCATGAGAGAGAGGTTATAAAGCTTGATCTGAATTTGGTTTCCTCATGTAAGAAAGTAATGGGATGGCAATTCCAGGTATGGCAATTCCAGGTATCTCACTAAGTATTAGTCGTCTAAATTAAAAATTGAAGAAATGGCAAGCAATTTTCGCGTCTTAGTGTCACCTGGAACAGACAGCAGATTTATATCAACGTTATTATTGTCGAGTTTGTATATATCAAGGCATTGTTGTGGGCAACTGGGTATAGAAATAGTCGTTATAATAAATTTATAATCACACCATAAGGACTGTTCTGGCATCTACATTACTAGTATGAATTATGTATTAATTACTAACAAAATAAAAAAAAAATCAATTCTGTTGATAATCACGAATTATCATCTTTTGCATAATTGTGTCTATAATTCATTAGGGAAAGAAAACTAAAATTGAATATGTCTTAAAAAGCACACCTAAAATTATAATCTGAGAGCTGTTGACCTTCTTTAAGTAAATGTTTGTAAAGAGATAAAACTTGACTTCTTGTGGAAGCCATGCTGGATACGTCTTGATTAACAAGCCTGATATTAAATAGCAAAAAGACATGCAAGTATAATTTTCATGATCATGTCTACAATATACGCGACCCTTCTAACCTCCTCGAAAGAAGATTTCTTATTTACGACATTCTTGTTTTGATTCTTTGTCACTGATAAACATATTTCTGGAACAATTTGTTGTGCGAATCTTTATCTAGCTAATAATTTGTTGTAAATCGATGAATCATATTCAGAACTAAAACATTATATAGATTTAAGATATTCGTAACTTACATTTACGACATTAAAGTGAAAAATATTTTGCGTTCGACTGTCGGACTGGAAAAAAAAAGAAGCTGATCTGGTTAAATTCTGAAAGTTCATCCCAGATTGATATAAATAACAAAACACACGTTTCGTTTTCATAGAACTTTGTGTAAAAAGAGATGATTTTAAGGTCTTAATTTACTTTATTTTGTTAGTTTTTATGCCACCTCCTTTTTAATAGAATAAAAAAAAATCGTCTTCTCTTCTCCCTGCCCCACTGTTGCAGCCTGATCTAAACAAAATCTGGTCCAATTTTTCCACCCAAAGCTTAACCAAAATGTCAGGTCTGATCAGTCTGTCAGTACATGTCACTTGGCATATTTTTATAGAAATGAAATGAATTGAAATGGGGGTTTAACAAGGCAAAGCCGATAAGAATTCTTTACTGAAGTAACTAGGCTTTAATACCCTACTGCTGTGTTCTGACTGACAAGATTGTTGTGAGGTGTTCCAATTGGATGGCCGAATGGTGTAACATGCACTTGGTATGGAAAGGTCTGTCACTGAATCGCGTGGAGTGGTTTCCGATCCTACACTTGTAGGACTAAGTAGTAGTGTCGCCTGCCTGACCCTGTGGGTTTTCTCCAGGTGCTTCAGGTACCCGAACACAATCAAATTATTGAAATAAAACTGTAACTGTAACATATGTTAGTTTCTCTCTCTCGCTACAACAGGTCTGGTGTTTTTCTGATTTTTTTCTGAAGGGTTCTGTCCAAAACCGTAAAAGTTGATAAACTTATGGCATATTTTAAATTATTGGCAACACTTTTATTTAGCTGAATTAGATTTCATTCTGAAAATGCATCTCCAACATAATTATTAATTTTTCTAAATATTTGGACTACACATTGACGGCAGCTTGGTGATGTGGGTTGGCATCCACCCAAACAGCACTATAAATTCATACATTAATACATGTAGGCTACTCAGTGCTGTACTTTCATTTGAAGCTAATTATATCCAAGCTTTATGAATATGATCAGTGTTAATATACAATTATTTATGTTGATTGTATTCCTGATCCAGTACATATTTTCAAATATTACTAATAAGTTGGAGATGCATTTTCGGAATGAAAACTAATTCAGCTGTATAAAAGTGTTGCCAATAATTTAAAATATTCTAAGAATTCACCAATTTCTATGCTCTGCTGAAGACTTGCACAAGCATACAGTAATCAAGTCTTGGACAGAACCTTTGGCTTATTGCGCCAATCAGTTTTGAAAGTGTTCTAAGGGATGCCCCTTCGCCCTGTCGTTTAAATGATCAGCTAGCTCCCACTAAAAGATTGATATTTAGATAAATCTTATTGTATTTCAGAAAGATAACTTTTGTATTGTATTTCAGAAAGATAACTTTTGTGTTGAATGAGGTGAAACATCTACCAACATGGTGTGTGTACCGACAGCTTTCTGTAAAAGGAAAAGGGGCCTCACAATTTGGAGACACAATAAAAGTTTTTCATAGAAATTATCCTACAGATATGTTCACTAATGTAACACCTAGTATCTTATCGAAACTTGGTGAAAATTTACACAAGAAGCAATGTAACCCTTTAAATCTGATACGACAAAGGATTGAGGATTTCTTTTATAAACATTATGTAACAAGAGTAGGAAATCCCATTTTCTCTATCTATGACAATATGAGTCCAGTTGTTAGCTTAGAACAGAATTTTGATAGTTTACTTGTACCTAAAGATCATGTTAGTCGATCATTATCAGACAGTTATTATATTAATATGGAGTATATGTTGAGAGCTCATACATCAGCTCATCAGAGTGATTTAATTAAATCTGGTTTAGATGCTTTCTTAGTTATTGGTGATGTTTATAGAAGAGATGCTATAGATAGTACACACTATCCTGTGTTTCACCAAGCAGAAGGTGTGCGTTTGTTTAATCAATTTCAGGTGGGTGCACTGTAATCTGTATTGGATAATAAATTAATATATGTACCTGTAGGCTTGCTGTATTGTTGAAGTGGTTAGTGAACATTGCTACATTGAATAACCCTAGGCATGACCCAGGTGCACATAATAAGTTATACCTGAAAGTTGATAAATGATATTACTGATCTTTGTGAATAATGTTAGCAATTTCTGTGATGTTACCATGGACAATGATTCAAACAGAACTTTGAAGACTATGATCATTGTTGCTGTATGAAGTTGGGGGTCATTTTAAGCTAACTAAAAAAATGATGAAGGTTGATCTGTACTCGATCATTGTTTTAATGGGTAGCTTGAAATGTCTCCCAACTTCATACAGGATGGTCTGTACTGTCTGCGATATCACCCAAGGTGGAAGCGTACGTAAAGCCTTGAGTAAAAAGAAGAAGAATGATCTGTACATCAAAATTAGTCTTGGTTATTTTGAAAATGTAACCTCCAACTGGTAACTAATAAACTATTTTAGAATGTTTTGTCCCTTTAGCATCACTTGATAATATAATGGCTAGAGAAATCATCCAAGCAAAGTATGCTTGTTATTTTGTAGTGTTAGTCTTAAAATGTAATGAAAACTATTTAGTTATTTACTTTTTTCCAGTTATTTTCTGAAGTAAGGGATCCCACTGATTTAAAACTCTTTGAGAATGGAGTAAAAACAGATGATAAACAAGCAGAACTAACTTTTGATGCTACTAAACTTCTAGAATTTAGTCTGAAGAAAACCTTACAAGATTTAACAGTTTTTTTATTTGGCCAAGGTGAATGACTTCATACAACATTAATTCATAAAACACATATCAATTAAACCTTTAACTCTATGTAGTTCTTTTAAACTATTTATAGTTAATGCATGAGAAATGCCTCACATATAAACATATATTGATAAGACACACAACATACACAGACATTGCAAGTATTAAAAGTATATTATAAATTACTAGAAGAATGCCCGGCTTCGCTCGGGGGTCATTACTCAGAAACCGGAAGTGGTAGACTAACGCCACCTGGCCTGTGTTACTCCCTGGTCCGAGCTACCCCTATACCCCAAATTTCAGATTCGGGGCAGACCTAGTGTAGCCGCCAACCCCGAACAGACAGACAAACGACAGTCACAAATATTAGTATATAGAAGATGGGAATGGATCTAGGGGCCAGTCGTAAATATCCACTGTGCCGTACAGTCCATGTCCTGTAGTGTAGACAGTATGAGGACCTTCTAGTTCATTGGTTAATGATTCGCAGAGGATTGACCAATCATGAACAGAATATGGAGCATGTAGAATCTGGATGTACTGAATGTAACTTTACATTATACTTTGTTCAGTTTACATCAAAATATACAGCTGATAGTATACATGTCATACTTAAATTTTTAAATGGCTATTGAAATTTCACTTACCTACTTTGCTAGGTTTTGTATGAAATGTATCTAACAGTGAAAATTTTCTTGTATATATTTTGCATGTATATTTACTGGTATAGAAAACAGAGCAAAATTAATCTATCACATGTTACATAAATTTTAGTTTTTGCTGTTTTTTTTTTAGATTTAGAGATGAAATGGGTTGAAGCCTACTTTCCTTTTACACATCCATCATGGGAGCTAGAAATTAAATATCAAGGTCAATGGATGGAAATGTTGGGATGTGGAATAATGGAACAGAGAATATTAAAAGATGGTACATGATGTGGCTTATAATACAATTTTATGTTTTTGTGTTTTACATATTCAGTGTTACTTCTTACTGTGAAATTTTATGCGTAATTGATATTACTGAAAAGTAAAAAAAAAAGATTTTTTTGTGTTGTCATGATCTTCAATGATGTTATGGATTTACATTTTCTAAAACAAATCAACCCGTGGTCTAAGGGGAGATAATATGGAGATAAGGACATATATTGGAGTTATCTCCCTTTGCTTACATGGCGCAATATACTGCTTTTTGATAAACTATTTTAAAGCCATATAAAAAAAATATTCTGGTTTTTAGATCATCTCACGTTACTTAAAAAATGAATGCATGACCCATTCAACAGTCTCATTATTGATCGCATTTAAATGTTTTACCCTGTAACAGGAAGTAGCGCTAAAACAATATCTGAATAAATCTTAAAATGTTGCTCATTTATCAAATACACAACCCGGATAAATGATACTGTCAATCATAAATGATGCTGGGTAATCACACATTCCTGTTAAACAACATGATGAGATAAATGTAGTGAGTTGAGTTGAAATCAATGTTTCTGAGAATTCATTTGGCTCAGTGATCCCCTGAAAAAATAAAACCACAATAATATAAACCTCCCTCCTGCATCAGATTCTTGGTAAGGATGTCTGAGAACCAGAATTTTTTTTTGTACGGCCTAATTTGTGTGTTCTTTTTGTCTTGTATAAAATACAATGATCATTTTATTATATTTTTTTTTCATTACAGCTGGAGCAGGTGATAAAGTTGGATGGGCATTTGGATTAGGGTTAGAGAGATTAGCTATGAAACTGTATTCAATACCTGATATAAGATTATTTTGGAGTAATGATATTGGCTTTACCTCTCAGTTTGATGTTGATAACGCAGCCACACCTATTACGTACAAGGTATTATCTATATCTTTCATGGTATAAATTAGTTTAAAATAATTGGGAATGCTTATTTATTATTTTAGTTGCTTCAAATAAAATTTCTATAATTTTGAATCAGTAAAGAAAAAAAGAAGTGTACTTTGAACCCTATATGATGTATGTAAATATAGGTGTATTAATATATACATTTTTTTAATTTACAGCCTGTCAGTAACTTTCCTCACTGTATCAATGATATATCGTTCTGGGTGCCTGAAGGTTTTCAATCAAATGATTTTTATGATCTAGTTCGAACTGTTGGTGGAGATCTTATTGAACAAGTCAATCATACAGATGACTTTATTCATCCTAAAACTAATCGTAGAAGCCATTGTTATCGTATAATGTACAGACACATGGAAAAAACACTAACTCAAGCCGAAGTCAATGATCTTCATAATAAGATTAGCGAGATGGCAAAAAGTGACCTGGGAGTAGAAATACGGTGAATTACATGTTTTCTATCAGAATTGCTGCATGAAAGGGAAATGTGAGAAAAATTAATAAAAATATTTTGTTAGAAAATTTAAGAACGGATGTTGCATATTGATAACTAAGTGTAATGGTATTGATCATCAGTTGCTTATTAATTTCAAGTTCTAGTGGATATAATTACATTGTAAGCTGTTAAACAGTTTTACCACTGCTAGTAAAGTATGTTATTATGATTGTTATTTATTAATTATGTTATATTCTGTACTATATGAACCAGTCTACTTAAAAATATTTGGTTTCTTTTTCATTTTTATGCAACCACATTTGGCTAAGTGGGTAAGACGCTGGCTCGCTAGCCTGGAGGTCTGGTGTTCGATCCCTGCATTGGGCGAGAAAGTTCATCCAGATTTTCCGGCGTTGTTCCCACTTGTCACTGATGCAGGACGGAGGGCCTAACAATGACAGCTGTCTAGTCGTTCGGATGTGACGAAAAAACGAAGTCCCGTGTACACATTGGCGTGCACGTAAAAGATCCCTTGGCAGTTGGACGCGATAAAAGAGTAGGCCGTAGTGCCGCTGTCCGGTCAAAATTTCCCTCATAGCACTCTGTATGGTGTATGCCCGTCTTCATTAGCCCAGTTCTGAGCAGAACAGTAGGATGTTAAAAAGCCCCTTTTCCCGAAAAACTTATGAAAGTGATAGAGGCTATAGATTTTGTTGGATTCTTTTCAAATTAGGTGTGAAGCATTGTGGTCATGAGAGGACGTACCCTATCGATTTTCAGCATTCTGAGTTATCCCTCCTTTGCCGAATCGGTGTGAATGTGATAGGGGCTATAAATGTTAACAGGTTTTTTTTTAATTTGGTTGGAAGAAATGGGGTCATAAGAGGATGAACCCTAGTTATTAGATTTTTTTCGAGGATCCTAGATCCTTGTCAAATATGCTGAACATCCAAGTTTTCCATTCCACACTTTTCATGGCTATCTTTGATAATTGCCTCCAGAGTTATGCCTCTTTGTTACAATTTCTTGAAAGAACTTATAGGTTACAATTATTAACCTATCTGTTTGAAATTGATGTTGGTTGTCTATCCTATTGAAAATAAGAAACATATCCATTTTCATTGATTTTTGATGATAGTTATGCCACTATGTTATGAAATCTGTCTGTTTGTATGTAGATGTGGTTCGCAGTATTCTAGAGGCTACAATAATCCATATTTTTTTTTTTTAAATTGATAGGGATTGTCTATTTTATGGAAACAAAGACTTTCAGTAATTTTCAATAATCACGTTTATTAACAAATATTTTTGAAATTCATGTTAGCTGTCTATCTTGTTTAATGAACTGTTACACGATATATGTTTTCTGTACCTGATATCTGCTATTAAATATAATACAAACTAAAATAGCAAGATGATAGTTTATATTTATATAATGGAGGTGGAATGTTCATTTAGAAAAAATGGTCACGTTTTGGCATATGCACGTTTGGTAATGAAAATTCTGCATTTGGCATTAACCAACAGTTTAATTGCCCCCAATCATGATCACGTACATGCATATCTGTAGTAAAATTAATTTGGTGGTGTAATATTTAATTTGTTATTAAATTAATTTCAAAAGCATCTAATCAGTAAATATATGAATAAGTTTGACGTATGATTAGAACAAAAATCAACTGTATAAAAATAAAACTTAAAGCATTCAACACAATGTGGGCGTACCTTTACATTTGATAGACTTTCTACAAGATAACGTGAGTTACATAATACAGGATATACGTGACCTGTAGAAATAGGGTCATTATTAACTGTGGTCAATCGGCTGTTCCATTATCAAAATATAGACGTTTCTAATTGAAAAAATTTACCCACAATGACGCTTTCAATAGACTATTCTTATCATGGCTAAATTGGGCAAAATCTGATTAATCACCAAATTGATTCCAGACGGATCCGATTTGCTGTCTTTTGCGGCAGGGGAATCGGCTGGGCGATCAAGATATATATATATATAAAACAGCCCTTCTTGAAGCAACGCTTGATCGATCGACAGTATCAAAAACAAAGCTAAAATATTGCAGAATAGAAAAATGTTTTATTTTTATTATCTAACTCGGTTGTGTTCATAAACAAGAACAAGTGATGTTTCTTCCACTGGCCATAGTTTGTACATGGACTGATATTTCTTGAAATCAATATGTTATTTTTTTATATAATAAACTATTAAGAAAAAACAAACAAAATACTATCAAATGTAAGTGCGCGTTCAGGTATCATTTAAATGAATATAGTAAAACACTACCGTGCATTCTAATTCAAAATGTATTCAGATAATACCTATTTTAAACCAATCTGATTAAAAAAACAGAGCTATATTTCGTTTTGTTTTTTTATACTTTCGATGGCCTAGCCACCTACACTACATGAAGATCTGGCCAGTTGTAGTGGGAGGTTGCATCAGAGGTCATACGAGCGGCTTTTGACCCTATGCTGGCAGACATTTAATTAACCAATCAGTGTTGATGTTTCTAGTGGGTTACCCACAGTTCCGTGAACCTCACGCTAAGAACTTGCCGTAACAGACCCTTCGATTGGCTAATCCCTCGCATCACCCAGAACAAATCTTCCATATCCTAGTGTGGTAAAGACATGTAAAACTAAATTTTGAACTATAAAACACAAACGAAATAGGATCTGTGTTTTAATCATCTAGATAAAATGTTAGATTTTGTATGAATAATAGAAATAGCATAAATGGGTGGGTTATATTTCATAATATTACATTTAGAAAAGGAACTGTAAGAATGCTATAAATGGCGTAATCGAAATAGAAAACGACTGAACATTCTGATATACAACTGACACAGCACCTAGAAATAGAATTAAATATCACAGTCAATAAATGTAGTGTTTCAGATCATTGTTTATTTTTTTAAGCATTACAATACACTCTAATAATTCTTTCTCCGAGAAGTACTCCAGCAGTTCATAGATGTACGTGCAAAAAACAATGAAAAATGTTGCGGACAAATAGTATTTTTCAATAGGCCTACTGTTAATGCAAATCAATAATTATAATGCTAGAAGCAGAGATGTGAAAAGCTAACGCAGATTGGGGTGTCTTTAAGATAAAGACATTCTAATTATTCCAAAATTGGTAACATTATGTAAGCAATAGGCAGAGGCAGCAAAGGTCCCAGAACAGATCATTGTGGGACACTAAGTTTGCCGGACCCGATTTACGGTCTTTTGCGACAACGGTCATAAATACAGACCTAAGAAATGTTTAATTTTAAGATAGAGACATTCTAATTATGGCTAAGATTGTTCACATAACCTAGAACATTGTGGGATAAAAGGTTTGCCGGACCCAATTACGGTCTTTTGCGACAGCGGAAACGTTTGGCCATAATGCAGATCTAAGAAATATTTAATTTATATGATCTGTACATGGAGGCAGTGTCGTCTGGTCGAGATTATCAAGAGATTAGTTGTATGCCTAAATTACTGAAATGCATATTATCAATCGACGAGTTGAATATTCCTCAACCGTTAAACTCAACTAGATAAAAATGTTTGTGTGTCTTGTCCCCCGGTTTGTCTTATGGGTTTTGTTTGTATAGTGGGTCCTCCTGCACTTACTAATGTACCTAAATTATTTTACGTAATAGTTTAGGGTAGGCCCACCTGAGCAATGATCTTCACCCGGGCCAGCATAGCTTCCAAACTGACAAGCACAGAATTCACCATTACATACAGAATTCCTAGCACGACATTCTATATCCATCGTACACTGATCAGTTAAAGGTCGTTCTGAAATATACAAACTCAATACAATTAACATTACCGACTAGAGGTGTTCATGTATGGAAGCTTATATACTATTCAAAAAAAGTAGGGGATATTTGATTTTGGGGGCATAATACTAAAATATGCAAATGACTACGAAAAAAGTCACTATAGAACCTAACAGAAGAAACATTTCCAGTTACATGTGACGCCCAAACGCACCAATAGCTACCGCATGGAATGCAGGTGATGCTTGGGATCATCATGGGGGTCCAACCCAAGATTTGCACGACTCTGACTTTGAATGTTACAGTCATTGTGGCATTGAATTCCAGGGTGGAAACATCAGTTTAATTGTTTTAGTGACCAGAAAACAAATTTTGATATGCGTCGGCTTACCCAAAATGAAAGGTTACGTGCCCTTGGCATGCTACAGATCGGCACAACACAGGTGGTTGTGGCGCGGACGATGAATGTTTCTCAGTCTGTCATAAGCAGGCTATGGTCCAGATACCGTGATACACAATCTGTACAGGACAGACCACGCTCAGGTCGACCAAGGGCGACAACTCAAGCCCAGGATCGATTTATCCGTACCTTGGCCTTGAGAAATCGTGTCATCACAGCAAATCAGATCAGCGCTCGTCTTCAAACAGACACTGGTGTGAGAGTGAGTGGCCAGACGATTCGGAATCGACTGCATAGGGGTCACCTTCGCGCCCGACGTCCTCGCGTGATCCCTTGTTTGAGAGATCATCACATTCAGGCAAGACGTCGTTGGTGTAGGGATCGTCAACACTGGGATAATCGACGCTGGAGCAATGTGATGTTTTCAGATGAGTCAAGGTTCACTGTTGATTTTTTGGACAGACGTAGGAGGGTGTGGCGTCGTCGAAACGAGCGCTTCCAAGACGTTAACGTCATCAGACATGATCGATTTGGGGGTGGTTCTGTTATGGTGTGGGGAGGCATCACTGTTGCTGGAAGAACGGCTTTACATGTTGTTGCAGGGCGTGTTACAGGCCAGTACTACCGGGACAACATCTTGGCAGTCCATGTTGTGCCGTTTGCACGACGTCATGGCCGCCGTTTCATCTTCCAGGATGACAACGCAAGATGTCACAGGGCCAGGATCGTTACAGGTTACCTCCAACAACAGAACATCACCACATTACCTTGGCCAGCACTGAGTCCCGACCTCTCCCCCATCGAGCATGTCTGGGACATGCTTGGACAGAGGTTACGTCAACGTCAACAACGTCCTGCCAATGTCCAAGAACTTGCTGCTGCGTTGCAACAGGAATGGGACAATCTGGACCAAAATGACCTTAGACGTCTCATTAGGAGTATGCCACGTCGGATCAATGCTTGTTTGGCAAACAGAGGAGGATTTACCCGTTACTGACTTGGTTGTGATGCTGTGGTAACTTTGCTGTTTGACCCCGGGTATCATTTTACCCTTATAATGGTCAGTCTGTGCCTTACTTAGTCTAACGATCATTTGGAATAAATCGATGAATGTGAACTTCATTTCATTTTGTCATTTGTTTCTTCGTCAGTTTCATTAGGTGACTTTAATAACACTTAAAAATCAAATATCCCCTACTTTTTTTGAATAGTATATAATAACTACCATTAGTATTTCTATTTTTTTTATTTTCTTTCCCTGGAGGTCGGGTGTTCGATCCCTGCATTGGCCGAGAAAGTTCATCCAGACTTTCCGGCGTGGTTTCCCCTTGTCAGTGATGCAGGACGGAGGGCCTGACATGGACAGCTGTCTAGTCGTTCGGATGGGACGAAAACCGAGGTCCCGTGTACATATTGGCGTGCACGTAAAAGATCCTTTGGCAGTTGGAATTTGATATAAGAGTAGGCCGTAGCGCCGCTGCCCGGGCAAAATTTCCCTCATAGCACACTGTATGGCGTATGCCCGTCTTCATTAGCCCAGTTTAGGAGCAGAACAGTAGGACGTTAAACCCCATTTCATTTCATTTCATTTCTATTTTTCGCCCCTCCAGAACGTACAAGTCACGACAAAATGTAAGGCGACAGCACGCACACTAAGCAAAATTCGAGACGGAAATTGGAAATTAAGAAATAAACAGACTGAGATAACGCCCCTCGTTTTGTACTTTTCCAGTTGCATTTTTGTTTGTGTAGCTTGACGTCGAAATGAACTCGAAAAGTATAAACATACTGCGTCGTGCTGTCGACTTTTCGAGTTGTTACATAGTTTTCCTCTCAATAGACAGCAAAGAAAAGATCCCCGTGGAAGAAATACACCGTTTGAAACCAAAATATCAAAGTATTATATATTAGTTTACGTATATTTACACGACCTATTTACATAAATTTCTTTCTTTTTTTTTTATTAAAGTTGAAGTTGGAAAAGGTGAGTAACTTACTTAGCAGACAGGCAAGACCCGTTCTGTTAGGATAAAACTGCTCACCACATTTACATCGTCTATCTTCACAGTAAGAATTATATAATAAACACTGATCGTCATTATAACAGCTCTCTTCTATATTACTCTCTTTAATAAAATATATCAAATAATCGCCAACGTATAAATGGACAAAGGTGTATGCGTTTAACGTCCACTCGACGATAACCAGTCTTTTCGGGACTAACATAAATTTTGTAGACAGAGATATTTAGGCGTGAGAGGAAATTGGATACGTCGATAAACCTCGCTGCGACCTTACTCCGGATTAGATCTCATGACTTGCATAGATAATATGTCTTGAGATCTACGGCAAGCTCGTTAGAACAAATGGTCACCAACCTCCCATGACATTTAGAACTAGGTAGGATGTTATTACTTCCTTGTGGTTATCCATCTGTCATGTTCTTGCTATTAATTTAGATTTTATAATCCAGCGGTAAGCCAATTGTTGGAATCCAGAAAGGGATACAGTGAAACGTCCAAACCCCTCGGGAGGGGGTGGATGGCCGCATGGTAAGCACGTGTGCGTTGTATCATAAGGTCTGTCATTGAGTCAACTGGCTTGGTTTCGATTCCCCGGTTGTACGTGGCAAGGAGTAGGGTCGCCTGTCCAACCTCGTGGGTTTTCTCCGGGTCCCCCGGTTTCCTCCCACTGCTAAAGACCCCTACGCGCAAGCAAATTATTGAAATAAAATTGAACCATTTGTTAGTCGAGAAATGACCTAGTTTGTATAAAATAGTGACACAAGGAGATGATACAGAGGCTTTCCGTTGTTTAGTATTTGCAGACGAAAATACAGATATATTGTCCCCCAATTTTATTGTAATGCGAGAGAGAGAGAGGGAGAGAGAGAGAGTTTGACGTCCACTCAAACTCTCTCTCTCTCCCTCTCTCTCTCTCGCATTACAATAAAATTGGGGGACAATATATCTGTATTTTCGTCTGCAAATACTAAACAACGGAAAGCCTCTGTATCATCTCCTTGTGTCACTATTTTATTCGTCTACCGACACGTGTTACAAAGTGCAAGTGGAAGTAGCACCATGGAAATAAATATCTAAGTGATATGCTTATTATATATAGATACATCAACAAGAATATAATCAAGATCTGAAAAGCATAGTTCAATATTGGTTTG